AACCTAATATAATGTTAGGTATTGTGTCTTATAAAAAGAAGCAACTGAACGAAATAGAGTTTTTGGAACAATGAAGGACTAAATTAAAAGAATGTTGATATTATTATTAGGATATTCCTTGAAATTATGTGGAGCTGGACATGTGACCCATTCCAGTGGGTATTAACAGGAGAGTCAAGTGGAACAAATGACAATGGCTCAACTTCATATGTGTCAGGAATCATCATACAAGTACTACATTGTATCATTTGTACGATGGCATCATGATACACATGTCATCATTTTAACAACTTTGTGGCTTGTTACAGGTGCCACTGCCCATCTGCTCATTATATGAGGGAAATGGCATATTAATATCAGTGATCTTTTAATGTAGTTGCTTTTTTCCCTACAAACCTAGTTTAATATAGTTGAATCTTTTCTTTATTCTCTTGATCATGGCTCTCATATTAGTTTGGAGGAAAATAAGGCATAATGTTAAGACTTAGGACTAGACTGACTAATCAGGGCACTCAGCCTCATGACCAGCTTCTGTTTGCATCTCTCAGTGGTGGAATAGAGCTAAATAAGATTCGGTGGAAAACTTAAGTGCTGATCTTTCCAGATTCAATGCCTCCTGACAGAGATGTCTCTGTTTTAAGGATGTGAATTAAAAGTATTCCATCCCCTGAGTTCTTCAGTACTATAGTTTTTTTCTTTCTTAGAAAAACAAACTTTGCAGGTCTGATAACAAGAAGGAAAAGAAAGGAATTCTCAGTACTGTTGTCACAGAATAATTATTCAAGGAGTTTAGGAAAAGGTTGCTATACTTTACTTCAGCTGAATTTAATATTGTCAGAGAACCCTATATTGTTGTTGTTTTGAATTGTCTCCTCCCATTTAACAGCAGCTTTTTTTCCCCTTTAGTTTCTTCACAATTCAGAAATGATTCTTTGATTTTATGTATGTAACTGTTTTTTTAAGAGCTGACAAACAAGTCAGCTAGAAAAAGTATCTTGCTGGTCATGCTTGGCAGTTTTAGCTTGTGTGATGTATTTCCATTTAATACTTTATTCTGTGCTTTTCTGTCTCCAAAGCAACAGTCAGGCTAACCATTCTAAAATGTGTAATAGTAAGTGGTTGGTGAACAAGAGGAACATGAAAATCTGTAGCCTGGTTAATTTGTGAATGTATTCAATGAGTGCAAGTTTTATGCATTGCAATTTTATTCCTTTATTCTGAAATTTATAGCTACCACATGAGCCAACAATAGGTTATACTTTCCAATATATGACTGTAAGGGAAAGTATATGTAAATCATATAAACATTTATTTTGCCTATCTAATTTATATTCAAAATGCGTTCATGCAGCTAAAGCAGAGACTTGCATAGTTTTTAAATATGAAATATGCATAAGTAAAATTATACTACCCCACGTAAGCCATAATCTGTGATTATCTTCTTCTTCATCATCATCATTTCAGAACAAGAATTCACCACTTGTACATTCTGAGACATGACAGAATGTGCGCCATTACTCTGTAGTTCAATGGTCACAGCCAATGATCGAATAGGTAGTGATCGTCTCCAGTAAAAACTTTTTTTCATGTGCAACTTTATCTGAAAAAATGTGGATTACATAAACTTGGATTATGTCAGCCTGGTGTTTTTAATGCCAGTATTGTTGACGAGAGGGGGCAATTAGAACAGTGTTAAGAACCTGTAAATGTAATCCAGGAATATTGGGTATGTTTGGGGGAAATGTCATGTGTGTATGTGTATGTGAAGTTGACAGAGCAGCAGCAGTGCAATGAATTAAGTGCTCAAGAGGATGAAATGAGTCAGAGAAAAAAAGCAACTACAGATAATCCTCATTTAGCGACTACCTCATTTAGCGCCTGTTACGATGGTGATGAAAAGTAACTTTGCAACCAATCCTCACATTTACGACCTTTGCAGATCTGTAAAGCAAAGGAAGCACAGTTGCGGTTTCACTTAGCAATCACTTTGCTTAACGACCAAATTGCCCATCCCAATTGTGGTTGCTAAATAAGGACTACCTGTATTTCAGCCATGATTGTTGGATGGCCACCATAGCAACTGAGAAGCAAAAGAGGACTAGATTTGTGAGGCAACTTTTGTAGAAGTCACTGTTCAATCAGTACAACAACCAGAAATGGTAATCCTATTTATTTATATCCTTTTTCCTTAAACCTCCCCACAAACCTGTCATTTCTAGATATAATCCCATGTGTGAAAGAATAAGTACTGTATCCACATATGCAAATTATATATTTCACTGTGTCCACTAGATGTCAGCAAAGAACATCTTGATTTTGCCATCCCTCTCTATGCTGGATTATTATGAATGGAGTCTGCTTGGGCTTTTCTTTTTTTAAAATAATATAAAGACAGACTGAGAACACCACAACTTAAACCCAGCACTTCTTCTAAGGAATCAGTGACTGAACTTTTCTTGTGAATTATAGGACATCTGGAGTGGCCTTTCCCAGTCAGTGCTTTCCAGATGTTTTAGGACTAAAACAGAATTGCCTGGGGCCAGGCTGGCTGGGGGAACTGGATGGCTGTAGAATGAAGAGGACTGATTGAAAACATTTTCATGTTTCAGATTTCAACCAGGACTTAACAGCAAGACAAAATAAAATAAATAAATGTAAATTTTGCAGTGGATGACAGAAAAAGCTTGAGCAAAACAATGAGCATGAGGTATCCCATAAGTATGCTGGATACTTTGCTTGATAAAATGGCTTGTGTAGGGTGCTGGCTTGTTACGGAGTTTCACTTGTGGCATTGCTTTTCCCAAATTAGCCTAATAAATGCTTTCATATTTTTCCTGATCAGCAATTCTGTACATTAAAAAACAAAACCCTGTGCTGTCAGTACTGTATTATCCTTATAAAATCTAACCAAGCCTCTTTTTTCCTTCTTCTTCTTCTTCTTCTTCTTCTTCTTCTTCTTCTTCTTCTTCTCCAGATAACTGGTGTTATCCTTCTTGCTGTTGGTGTCTGGGGGAAGTTGACTTTAGGCACATATATCTCACTTATTGCTGAAAACTCCACTAATGCTCCATATGTTCTCATCGGGACGGGTACCACAATCATTGTCTTTGGACTGTTTGGCTGCTTTGCAACATGTCGGGGAAGCCCATGGATGCTGAAACTGGTGAGGAGGTTAAATAACTTGATTCTGGAGTGCTGCAGGTTCAGATAAACACGTAGGCATACATCCGTGAAGAACCAGAGAGTATAATCACTGTTTCCCATAAATGGGTATATTTTCTGTTTATACAGTATATACCTAGGAAGTAGCTTGATTTGAAAAGAAAGATGCTGATCTCTTTAAAATGTGGGAAATGATTTAATTATGCGAATAACTTGCATCTTTCTGCCATTCACTAATTTCTTTTCTCAGAAAGAGATTAGAATCAGAAAAGAATTGCGGTGGCTTAGGTACAGTGCTGTAAGTGAACAGTATTTGAATATGTTAACTTTTTCAGGGTAGCTTTGAATTTTGAATAAACCATGGGTTAAGTTGAAAGGACTCTGTGTCACAACTACAGTGTTTTAGAAAACAGAGTAAACAATTCTAAATAATTCTTGGGTGTGGGTATTTAATACATAAATTCAATTAATATAACTTTATGGAAAGCAGAAGAACAGGAAAAAAAAACCCCACCAAGTACACACTTTTGCCAACAAGTACACATTTTTGCATAGGTTTTCCATTACAGATATGGGAAGAAGTAATTAATGTGAGAGTGGTAAGAAAGATGTACTGTAGTGATGGGTGTTTGGGGGCGGGTGGGGAGTTACTACAAGCATATCCAAATGTATGTCATTGAGATAACAGTCTTACTTCTGCTAACAAATCTTTTGGCTGCAGTCCTGAAGTCTACATAGAAGAGATCAATATGCCCATGTTGGCAGAATTTTCTCTGGCAGCAACTCCCAACTAGCTTCCTCAAATGAGCTGAGAATCGAAGCCAGCTAGCAGCTGCTGCCAGAGAAAATGCCACAGAAATCCCTGCTCGGGTTGCTTCTGTGGGACCCCAGAGACTGCAGTCACGTGGAAAGTAGGTGCCACTGATTTTTAATGGAATTGTGGTTTTAGTCTTCTAAAATACCCACCTTTTATTTTTAAGTGCTTTTGAATAAAACTAAATATTTATTTCAGGATTTGTTTTTTGCCAGTTTGTTCACAATGGACAAACCTGAAACTTCATGAAGGGGTTGATGAGCTGAAGAGTTTGGGGACCCTTGTTCTAGACCATCCTTTCTCGCGTGTGTGTGTGTGTGTGTGCATGCATGTAGAGGCAGTATCTTACTAGTGTATTTAATGAATACATTCACTTAAAAAACTTGTTTTTCAGCAGGTAACTATTTAAGTACAAAGTAATTTCAATTGTTTTGATTGCTAAGCCATTTATTTATTTATTTATTTATTTATTTATTTATTTAAAAGGATTGATATCCTATTTTACAATTTTGGAGAAATTTAGAAGGCAACTTTCAAGAACAACAACAACAATGACATATCAGTTAGAAACATAGCATAGAACAATAAAGACTTCAGAAATAACAGACCATTAAAATACCAAGGTGGCAGTATTGTTAATGTTCAGGCAAGTCACAATCGTTTCTTTCACTTTTCAATTTTCACAGCACTCTTAAAAGATAGATATTATTGTTGCCCTTGCCTTTTTATAGAAGGTGAGGGAACCTGCTTCTGAATTCTCAAGTGTGGATGCATAAGGAATGAATGTTCAGTCAAAGCCCATATATCAAAAGCAAATCTGTCCCCAACCCAATGGCCAAAGGTTAGAAAACAAGAGATATAGTCCAGCACAATCTGGACTGTCACAGATTTTGCAATCCTGTATAACATTTTCCTTTATTAGCATGGATTAACATTTCACATTGGGCCCCAATTTGGAGTTTCAGTAAACTAGAAGAATTAGAAATGGTCCAGAATAAATTCATGAG